GATGCGCCCAACCATCGAAGGGGGGGGGGGGGGGGGGCGTACCCTTGTGTTTTGCATGTCTTTGCGGTTAGACCACGGACTACGCGTCCTCGAGAGGACGGAGCATTGCTCCCACAGGACTGACCACCGATGGCCAATCGTTCCCTCCAAGGTCGCCAAAGGTGCCTCGAAATTGTCTTGCCTAGTCTATCTATCCCATCGATGTCACTTCCCCCCTTTTCTACCCACTTCCTTTGACCCAGTACAGCTACGAAGGGGGGGGCATACTGAATCGCACTATTTACAATACTTATGCATAGCACCCGTACTTCAGAACTTGGAAACTAAGAACTTCATGCTCAACAAGAGGTTGTTCTTAAGCGCGGGCGCTATCTGTACACAAAAAACGCGTCTCTGTATTTCACTCGGGGACGAATTATCGTACACATGTTTCCAAGCAGCATTGACATCATTCCCGGCGCAGAAGAATGCACTCGTTTTTAGAAACGTAGAGGGGTTCACAGTTTCGAGGGCCTCAAGGTGTTGGCGGTTTCAAGTCTGGTTGGCCCACTCTGACGTACTTCTTCGTACTTAGGAACCCTTGCGCACAGCGCAGTGGAATCTTCAAAAAACTGTTCACTGCGACACCGTCATTACAGACCTGAACTCTGGGATCACTGGCCGGCCAGGCACAATTATTCCGAAAGGCACGGCTGGAGCAACCGACATGGCTCTCGTCCACTCGACTTCACGTGCGGTGCGACCTAGATGATGTCGGATACGACTGTGGACGAGCGAAGGGACCACAGCGGGGGACGGGGGCGAACAAGTACGGGCATGGACGTTTGCATTGATTGTGAGGAAGAATCGACGCCTTGTTTCTCAGTGGCTCGCTGGGAGGAGTGCACTGCCCTGTAAGTGTCACACAAGTAGTGTGAACCACTGAGGAAACACACGCGAAAACACCATACCACATACTTGGGGGATGGATGGACCTGTAATGTTGGCGAGTTTTAACAACTGCGGCAGTTGAAACTTGACAAAATCACACGAAGAGTTCTGCTTGTTGTTCACATCATATGCCCCAACAACAAGCGGAAAGTAATATTTACCGCACGTGATTCTTTGTTTTATTTTATTACTTCGCGAAAGAAACTCGGCTTCACGGTGTACGAGGGAAAAGAGATGGATGGCCGTTACGTGTCGTGATGCGAACTACAAGATAATATTGTAGTACTACTGTTTGAGGGCAAGCAACGCTGCAGGAGGCAGACAAGAGAAACGAAATAAATACCAGAGAATCGTCATACTACTGCTGTACCAGCGATGAGCGGTTGGCGTACGACTGTCATATGCACAAAGCTCGTGTACAATCTACACAAGTAGTGGTATGCAACAACAGCAGTCCAGTAGACGTCTACGTAGACTACACCATGAAATTTAAAAACTCCCAAGTTCAACACCAGTTCGTGTTCTGCACCATTCGCTGTTGAATAGTTTAATGCAATTGCACGGGAGTGCCGGACAACAAGGTGACTCTTGGGTGAACCACAAGGGGCTGTGGAACGGTAGAAATCAACATAAATTTTGACGCCGCTTCGCTATAGACTCTTAATGGTTAGACGGAGGGATGCACGAGGGGGCCGGACCTTAGACTACACCTTCTTCTTACCGATTTTTCTAGAACAAGCCGAGATTCCCCGCATCTCGGCATCATCTCCAGCGTTTGAGCGTAGGACACACTGTCAACTTTAGCTCCTGCTGGCATCGATAATGTTGCTACAGCACTCGACTCGCCTATGTATGCTTACCTCTTTCGTGTCGTGTGTAGTCGTCGGCTTGATTGTGGATGGACGTGTTGGTCTCCCGAGACCCCTCGCGTTCTCAGCTGGTGAGGTCTAGACTACAAGATCGACTTGACTTGGCGAGTTTCCGACAGCAGTGCACTCCTGTGACGACGTGGAGGGTATTCCGGGAAGAGTGATGTAAGGAGCGTTGCCAGTGGTGACACACTTCAGAGATCAATATCTAGTGCGCCACAACACAGGTACAGCTACTGGGTAGAGGCAAGGCAGAAGGAAAGACTGCTAGACTGTGTGGTGCAGTGTCCTACCAGGTCCGCAAGAAAGAGGGCACGTGGATTCAACGACGTGATGCACCCCCCCCTCCATTTTCAGGCGTTATTTTATTATTTATGCCGGTCGCCCCGGTGGTCTTAGTTGGTATTCTCGAAACCTTCTAGAGGTCAGGTCAGGGGTTCGAATCCCGGCGCAAGCGAGCTTTTCTTGCGAAGTGAGTTCTTCTCTCTCGCTTCCGCTCCTGGCCTAGTGGATCGCGCTAAATAGTTCGTGTGTACAAAGAGGGAAGAGAATGCTGAACTCTTCTCGCATTAAAAATCGAAGGCAAAGTACCGTAGGAGGGGAGGGTAGAGAGGGTTCTTCTGTGTGACCACGGGTTGGAGTAAACGGCACTAGTACTCAGTGCTGTAAGCGCTGATTTGAAGTGAAGACAAAAAAAAAAAAAAACTGTTTGGTCAAGGCGTTTGTTTATAGTATAGGACTTAGAATCGTTATACTAATAAATTAAAGCCTATATTTTCCATAATGTATAGGCTTAAGTGTAACATTATAAAACCCATACTTACTTGTACAAAGAGAGAGAGGTGAATATGACCACACCAAATCCTAGACCTTTCTTTGTAGCCCCTTTTAGCAGCAGCCATCAATGTGTGTGTGTATGTGTGGTCCTCCTGCACCAAACAGCAAGGAAGGGTCAGCAAGCAGCAAGTGTTGTGGGATCACACGCGTAGCGATCCCTGAAGACCCTGATGAAGACTCACTTGTTTATTAATCTCTTGGAACAGCAGTGCTTGCTGTTGCCTTTCTCTCAAAGGTAGACTGAGCACAGAGGGGGAGGACATGCTCCCTCTAAAAGGGGCCACAAAGGTCCTGTCCTCTGTTTTATCCTTCCATCGGGAGTTACATCTCCCGCATTTCCTCTGGGAATTACTCCGCAATACCGTTGGCACTGTCTACATTCAAATCCCATAACACTAGTAGCCCACCCTGGAGGTTCTCATACGCAGATACTTGAAACCTAGGAAGTTGACAAAAAATTGTCGAATCCCAAAAAATGAAAGGATCGAGGACGGATGATGTGGAGCTCCAAAATACCAAGAATCACCCTCCCACACCTCTCACACGATGACTCGCAAGACCATTGTTTGACCCAACCAAAAAGAACGATAGAGAGAGAAGGAAAAGACGGGGCTAGGAATGAAACAGGGGGACAATAGACACGACAAAAGAAATCGTCAACGCTACAAATACCATAACAGGTCGGAACCCAAAGAAAGGAAGAAAACGCTGGAAAAACACCGTCGGAACGGCGATAACCAAATGTATCGACAAAACGATACAAAACACGAAGCCGTCGGTGTCGCCCAAACGACTAAAAGCGACGAAAATACTCACGGCTAGCCCGAATAAGCTTACTAACCACAAAGAAAACCTAATGACGCCATAGCACGACGTAGCCAAAAAGGTAAGAAACCAATCGTTTCGACAGCGAAACCAGGGGGCCATGACCCAACATAAGGTCCGACGAAATCAAACCGCCGCAGGGAGACGAAAATCAAGCTCAACCACGCGAACGGCGAAAGAAGCAGAAACGCAAAAGGACTCGAAGGACAAGACGACGTACCAGGCAGAAACAAACCGATCGCCAGAATGACGGGAAAAAAGGGGTCGAAATGCCAAGACGAGGCCTAACACTGCGCTATCCAGAGGCAACAACAGCCTACACGTACTTGCAAATGAGAGGACCGGACGAGATCAAGGGCGACCTCAAGTCCGCATCCCATCTGGGATAGAACACACACATCACACAGGCAGATCCCAAGACACACACGCTTGCTACTCGGCGCGTGCCGAATCATTTGGCGGCGAATGCTCCGTCTCCACGTTTCACGACATGTCGACATTGCGAAGAAGTCCTTTCATGAGGGCGCTACCGCCGTGAACTTGAAGGCACCACGAACCGCAGACGGCAGATCCGAGGGTAGAGTAACGAACAACGGAGAGGGCGATCTTGACCGATCCGGGGTCGTCGAGGAAGCGGACGATGTAGTGGTCGGCCCGCGCTGTCGGTCCAGAAATCTTGCCCAGCCACCAGAGTTCATCTTGAGCCTTGTACCAGAAGAACGCACCCACAGGTAGAGGAGCATCGGCGAAACGGCGGTCCCAGGTTGAGCGGGAGACAAAGGAGTAACCCGGAGGCAAATATCTCTCGCCCTTAGCATGTGTCAATTCGCGTGCGGCTGCGCCAATACGCATTGCACTGTAACGGCGATTCGTCTGACGGTGTTGATCGGGCGTACCCGTCCAATACCGGAGAATCTGCGATCGAGAGTGCTGAAGGTCCATCTCACGCTCCCAAGAAGGGCGGAGAAGACCCTTCCAATGTGTCTAATACAGAACAGCGATACCGCCACCACGACCGCGAACAGACTGGTGACCAGTACCACCTCGAGACGTTCGACCGAAGTCGAGACGTCATTTTCTGTAACATGATACGGAGGAGAGTTGTCGTATAGTTGTTTTAAAACATACTGCGTGAGACCAGCCGGCAGAAACCGTGGCAAGTCCTCAGCGTCATGCGGGTTAGCGCATGGCTTGCAGCGTGCGGCCGAAACACGACGTTTCGAGTCTTTGCCCGGCAGGTCCGACGGAAGATCCAAGTATAACAACTTGGCCGCGAGAGGACTGCCATCAGGGGCTTTCGAACAGGGGCCTACAGCCAACACTTTAAACGGACCGGTCCAAAGCAACGATAACTTCGCTTTGAGAACCTTGTCGTCGGTGCCTGATCGAACGCCGGAGCGAATGGTAGATTCGGTATTATAGATCCAAACCCAATCGCCGATGGTGTAAGTCGGAAGCTTGTGTCTTTTATCAGACAATGGCACACAATTTTGCTCGAAACTGTCACAAGCCGTTTACATACGTCTCGCAGTTCGCAAAGTGGCCACCAGTTCGTACCATCCTAATGGAAATGGTGGTGTCGAGCGAGTTAACCATACTATGGCACAAACGCTTGCCATGGTCGTTAACGAAAGGCAAGATGATTGGGATGTCCATCTCCCTCATGTAGAGTTTGCGCGTAATAACTCTGTTAGCGCGGCCACCGGTTTAGCACCTAATGAGGTGCACATCAACCGTTTGCCTCGCCTTCCGATGACTGTCATCGAGCATCCTTATGCTCGTGGTCACGCGACCATCTCCAATATTGCGACCTCGCTGCTGATCGCCAACGCCGTGCATACGAGCTAGTACGCGAGCAGCACAAGTTATCCATTTCTCGGATCGAGCGTCGAAACTCCGCTCTCTCGGATGCTTTGGCAACCCCACAGAGGGATATTCCGATTCACTAAAAAATCTGCAGTACCTTCAGCGGTAAACTCAGCAGCCGTAACGGCGTACATGTCAGCACGCCGACTAAATCGGTCGGTGAAGAGCAGAATGTAAGTGTTACCCCTAGGGGTAGTCGGCAGTGGGCCGAAACAATCGACACTCACGGACACTCCAGGTCCGGACGGCAGTGGCAAGCTTAAAATGGGCCACCGGGCCGTTTGTCGGGAAGTTTTACGAGCTTGGCACTTGAGGCAATGGCGAATCCACCATTTGGTACAGACGCTCATGCCTACCCACCAGTAGAAACACTCTAACATAGACCGCGTACGAGCTGCACCAAGATGACAAGACGCATTAGCGTGACAGACCTGCATGATCCATGGGCGCATCAACATGGGGACGTAAACCCTATTAGGTTCGTCGTTGAGGGGACGTGCCGCACGCCCGCCATGGCGCGTGGAAGTGGCAGAAGTGTTTGTGGTGGGCTTCTTAACGAGAAGTACTACGTCATTGTCGTCAACGTGCAACCGGCCTTTGTGTGCCAATTCACGGATGTCCGAAAACGAAGGTCGACGGTGTGACGGAAGGTGGTCAAGAAAACTAGGCGGTAATTCGGGAGGTTGACCTAGAAGGATGTAGCGTATGGCGGCATCACACACGGGTTCACCGCGTTGTTCTCGCGCCCAATCAGAATGGGAAAAACGCTCAACCGATTCGCGGAAATCGAGCTCCACGCCCGCAAGTACTGGGATATCAACAGCCGGCGGAACACGCACCGAACCAAGCAATGGTCCAGACGCGGGCGTCGGCGGTGTCGGGTCTGAGCGAACGGCCATCTCCGGAATTGGACTCAGTGGCGCCGAAGTGGCGGAATCTACCGGCCGGGAAGCCGAAGATTGATGAGCACGAGGCGCACGAGCTACAGACTGAGGGACAGTCGGCTCGAGAAGCGAGTCCTGCGGCTGGGAAAAGCCATAGTCCACAGCCGGGCGCGGACTACCGGCGGCAGCAGCAGCTCGCCGACGGGTCCGTGTCGAAATTAGATCGGTAGGATCCAGGGAGCGCCTGGATGAAGCACCAGGGCGTGTAGCGGGCGTCTCTGTCGCATTCTGTACGGAAAAAACATCAGCAGCAGTCGAAACTGCAGAACGATCCGAGGTGACCAAGGGAGGGCGTTTGCGAGCGGTTGTAGAGCCCGAAGCACCGATAATAGTCGGGGTTAAACCTCTAACAGACCAGACGCCCGAGGGAACTCCGGAATGAGCGACAGTAGCGCGCGGTCCGTGCTCGCGAAAATCAGCAAAATCAGCTGAAGAAGGCGGTAGCCCACCCAAGACTGAACTCGGGGCGGACGGGACGAGCCCACCCAAGCCAACACCGGCTCGATGGCGAGAAGGCACAAATCCACAAGAGCGGATAAAATAAACCGCTTCATCTTCAGCCGACGGAGTCAAACGACTGCGGCCAGAACGGTCACGCTCGGTAGCTTCTATCGGTAGTCGAGAAAGGAAGTCAACATTGCCGTTAGACGAACCCTTGCGATACTCAAGAGTATGCCGTGAGGAACTCCAACCAACGTTGAACGCGAGCGTTGTTTTCCCCCACCTTTGCAAGGTGTTCAAGGGAAGTGGGTGCCCCATAGGTAACCGCGAAGGCGCTTGATGCACCAAATGATGCGGC